AAACATTTTAAAAACATATTCTTGTCCTTATCTCAGTCTCTTCAGAGACAGAGCCTGTCTTTGAAAGGCTAACGTAAATTCTGATGATGTCACTTGCAGATTTGATTATTTTAGATGAATAAAATAATTATCCCTAGCCTCTGAGAAAAAGTGTCTATTGACCTACTCCCACAGTGCTGTAGTGTTAGCTCTGCTGAGAGAATCATGGCATGAGGGAAGCAGTCCAGAGGAAGAGAACAGTCTCTTATTCCCTTTTCCTACTGCTTGCTGTAAATTTGCAGTATTCTTATCTGGTTCTGTTAGCCCCAAGAGCTGTGCCATATATAGTTAGCCATATGTGATACCATTTATGGAGCTCTTACATTGTGCAAAAGATTAGGTTTAGCACTTTACATGCATTACCTCACTGTCTTTAGGGGCTCCAAAAATGTACTTGAGTTTTAGGATGAAAGCCTCAGCTCTGGAGGTCCCAGCAGACCAGGCCCTGTCACTGGTCCCAAAATGCCAATCAAGGAGACTAGCAGTGGGGAAGGGCAGGAAAAAGACTTTAATTGGAAGTGGCCACATTAGGAAAAACAGATTAAAAAGCTTCAAGATCTGTCTTTAAAGAAGTTTCATTGAAAGGGGGAACAAAGGCAAGGGTTGGAGATTTGCATAGCAGGGAGTGAGTTTACATTGAGGGGATGAGGTTTGTGTAGCTGGCAGTACATTTAATCCGGGTCAAGCTGTGGTCTTAGTTGTCTCAGCACTAGTTCTGCAGGGTTGCTTCAGAGATATTCTTATGTCTTGGGGCCGTCTGGTTCCTATGAAGTGACTGCTTCTGCTTAGTGGGAATGACTTCATGAAGTGACCTGTCTATAGAGGCTCTGCTGAAATCTGTGAAAAGGTTTTAAGATAGGGACAGGAGACTTCTAGGTGCTGCTCCAGAGGGTTTGCAATAGGACTTTGTAAAAGGTGGCAACTTAATGTCCCTGTAAATCTTGCAATGTCCTTATTTACTCTTGGTGTCCTCAGTCTTGAAAAAGGATAAGGTAGGTAAATTTAGGGCTAACAAACCTGTATTACCAGTTTTTTTTAAAGATATATTCTTTAAGTGATTAACATGACTTCTTGCATAGCTGAACAGGGATCTGATTCAGTCTTAAGGTAATAAAGGAGAAATATAAAATGAAGGCAGAGATATCAAGCTTTATTCTGATTTCTCTCATTCATTGTCCATCAAAAGGCCCAACATCTAAGTCCCTGTGATAAAACATTGTAAAATGCATTACTGCAAACATGTACTAAGAAAAAAATGAAAAAAGTATATTAGTTAGCTTTCTTATTGCTGGACAAATTATCCAACCACCACAACTTAAAGGAGGAGACGTTTAATTGACTCAGTTTCGGAGGTTTTAGGCCATGATCATCTGGTTCCAATAAATAAGTGAATTTTGGTTTGCAATTTGGGCACTTGTTTCTAAAAGGTCTGCCATCACTGCTCTAGGCAGTTCCCAAGCCAGTCAAGCTGACGCGATGAAGCTTAACCCTCACAAAGTATCATCAAGGGAAAGTTGCTTGGTATACCAAAGAGTGATATTGCTTCCACTTCTCATAGTAGTACTTTTGTTCATCTATCCAACAAATGTTTGTACACTTGTATAGGATAGGACTTGTGCTAGACACTGATTATATATTGGTGAGTAAACACGCATTTCCTGCCTCTGAAGACCTTACAATGATAGGCATTCACGCTCCCAGCAACTTGATGTCTGTCTTAAATTCTCTTCTAGCCTGTACTAGTGAATAGGGCCACTCACTTCAGTTTTGACTACATCTCAGTATTATCTGTGTGAGGGTGAGGTAGGTCACTGAGAAGAGTGGGGATATGTAAGAGGTCCCAGAAAAGGGATGCTGCTTGGCCAGATGGCCATAAAATGTGTCTCTAATAAGGTTACATTTAAGTACAGGCTTGAAGAATGAGGAGTCATGCCATGAATTGAGGGGAGAACATTCAGGACAAAAGAAATTCATTTGAATAAAATACTTGAGACAAAATAACTCCAAAGGGTATTTGAGGAACTGAAAGAAGATCTGTGTGGCTGAAATATAATGGTAAGATTTATACATTTGGGGATGAAATACATTAGATTACTGAAATGATATATATATATATATATATCATTTTAGTAATCCATATATATATATATATATATATGTATACATATACATGTATGTATACATATATATTAAGGCATTTGAGGGTTTTTTTTTCTTAAGGCAGTACAAAGCCTTTGAAAAATTTTAAACAGGAGAGTGATTTAATTTAATTTCTATTTTTAAAGAATTTTACTGTATGTATGCTGTATTTCCATTTATGAAAAGGGCAAAAGACTTTTTAAGGAATAAAGATGACTCTGTCTCCTTGTGGAAGATAAGAAGCAAAAGCGGAAGCAGACTGAACAAGCTGGGAGGTATTGCTGTAGTTTTTTTTTTTTTAATATAAGATAATGATATCCCCCCAAAAGAGTAAAAGTGGAGAGCAAAGGACATATTTAGGAGGCAGAAATGATAAGGTATTATAAATGGAGAATGAACAATAAAGAAAAATGAAGACTAGCTCTGAATTTCCAGGCTTGAACGTAAGTGGAGTGTTACTTACTGATTCTAGAAAGATTTTGGAAGGGATAGATGAGAGGAACCAAGAGTTTGATTTCAGATTCTTTCCATTTGAGATTCCATTTGAGATTGAAACTTCCAAATAGACACGAGGCAGTTGAATACATAAAACTAGAACAAAAATGATACAGGGTTTAAACATAAACCTATGTTCCAGCTTAGGGGTGTACATGTATGTAGATCCAGCATTCTGCAAGTCTGAGATAGTAGGCTTGCAAGTTTAAACTTAGTCTGAGGAATTTAGTGATTTAGTGAGACACTGTCTCAAAATAAAAACATTTTAAAAAGGATTGAGGCTGTAGTTTACTGCAAAGGCCCTGGCCTCCATCCCCCAGTCAGTCAATTAATCAAACAAACAAATCTATATTCCACCAACATATTTAGGTGGTACATATACTCAGAAACTTGCCTCACATCACAGAAGGAGAGAATAGACAAAGTAGAGATGAGAGTCTCAGGGCCAAACTCAATAAAGGTCTAATGTTTTGGTGATGAGGCTCCAACAAAAAGATTGATGAAGAATACTCAGAGAGGAAGGTCAGGAGAGTGATTTGACTCAAAGGAAGGAACCAGAAGATGCATCCCCAAAATATGGAGAATTATTGAGCTGAAAGCAACAAAGCCAAAGCAAGTACAGGAACTGTCTCTGTCCCCTTTCTATTTACCTAAAATCCAAACACAGATTTACAAAGACACGGTGAAAGGGTATGGGGTACCATACCCTCCCCAGCCATCCCCACCCACACACACTTTCTACCAAGGAGAACAAAAGTTAACAAATTTGGACTCCACCTGGAGATGGGACCAGAAGACCCTACATTAACAACCTTTGCCTACTAGTCTTTATCTGCCACTTAATTTGCTTTGGCCCAAGTTATTGCACTCAGAGGCTCAAAGGTTTTTCCCTTTGTCTTGTCTGTCACTTCTCTAAAAATTTACTCTTCTTTATTGCAGATGCTGTAAGCTGGAATTCAAAGCCACTTCTTTGAGAACTCATTTCCTGGTTGTCTCTTATGTATATGAAATATGCACATTAATAATTTCTCTTTATTTTCTTATTAATTTGTCTTTTGGAACAGGGGCCCTGCCCAATTAAGAGCCTATGAGTATTATTATTCTCTTATGTAACAAAAAACTCATAAAAATAAGTATTTCAAGAAATAAATGCCAAATGCTTCTGAGAGATTCAATAAGCTGAGTTCTAATATGTAGTCACTGGTTTCGGGAATAATATAGTGAACTTGATGTGAGCGATGTTCAAAATGTAGGCCTCAGGGACACCAAATTAGGAGACTGAGAAGTGATAAGAACTAAGGAAATTGAAATAGTAGATGATGGTTCGAAATTGAAACTGAACATAAACTGAAACTGAACCGAGCAGAACTGTTCACATATCCACCAAAGGGGCAACGTAGATACATACACACTGCTGTGATGTCAAAGGGTGGCAGTGTCATGGCCACTGGGGTCATTTTGCCCAGATATACAATTATTCTTCCTCTCCTCCTCTGACTGCTTTGCTAGAAGTCATGGATGTACATTATAGTTGTTTACCTTCCAACTAGACTTGAGGAAATCTTGCATGAAAAAATTCCTTTGGATACATAGTCTTTTCTCAAGATTTGTTGCAAAATTTACCTTTTCTTTGGAATTCTCCTTAAGTAAAAGTAACGATTGTTTCTCTGAACCCCCATAGTTTGTGTACATTTTTTATTGCATGTATTGAATTGGTTTATAATCATTTGAAGGTTCCAACTAGACACTGGCTAGGGAGGGGATTTGGTTTGAAAGTGAGATTGGCTCTAAATGCTTCAATCAAATAGGCCCAATTTATAACAGAATTCTAGCCTTTTATGCTGCTTAGAATTCCTCTGTCCCTCACTTCTTCCCATCATTTTTCCATTCCATTTCATCCCCATGCAAGATTATTACAATAGAATTAAGATTGAGCAAATCATCTTTATTGTGTTTTGAACACAGTAGGAGCCAAAATACATTTGTAGCCAGTTTTCTCTAGTCTGTAACTGTAATGCTGTAAGCAGCATTTTCTGTTTTAATCTAGTATATTTCCTGTCCTATTCTTAGGTAAGATAATCACAGCTGTATTATTTAGGAAATTCTTCATGAAGGCTCAAAAATAAGTTACCAGGAAACTAGATTTTTACATATACTGGTGAGAAAATCTGTCCTGCTTATTTCCAAACATTGGCCTTTTCCTTAGGATTGAAGAAATAACTCATGATTTCTTGGGGAACTGACTCTATAAGGAGCTTCTCCTGTACTCCAGCAGTAAGTGAGTATGCCTTGACTTTGTTACTGATTTGTGATATTATGTCTTTCAGAACCAGAGGCAGGAGAGGTGTCCCCTCCAGTAGGTGCTGGTGTCAACAGCAACAGCTGGACCTTTAAGTACGGACCAGGCAACCCCAAACAATCCGGTCCCGGTGAGTTGCCAGACAAATTCATTATCCCAGGATCTCCTGCAATCATCTCCATCCGGCAGGAACCTGCTAACAGCCAAATTGACAAAAGTGACTTCATAACCTTCGGCAAAAAGGAGGAGACCAAGAAAAAGAAGAAAAAGAAGAAGGGTAACAAGACCCAGGAGAAAAAGGAGAAAGGGAACAGCACGACTGACAACAGTGACCAGTGAGGTCATCAAATAGAAACAAGCCACTTAGCCAGTTTTTGTAATAATGGCAAATCTCTCCCATGTAGCAACTCCCTGCTCCTTTCTCCTGTCGACATGAGTCCTATTAGAGACCTCAGAAATCTGCAGAAAGTTCCCTGTGTCTGTCTAGATCGCATTTAACAGATTTTGTCTTAAAAGCTTTCCTAAGTCTGGTGTTAACTCTTTCTCTCCACTCTGGCTTGTTTTCAGAACCTAAAAAGCAGACCCAAGTTTCCTTTCTCCTCCGTCGCAAAGGAGAGGCTTCCCAGCCCCGCCAGTGAGAGGTTGGACTCTCTGCCCTGTGCTCCGGGGATCCTGTCTTGATGACATTTGTGGGGCAGGCTGAAAGGTTTTGAGATTGAGCAGCTTGGGTGTTTGTGGCCACTGGGTATGTGTGGCCACCGCCGATACTCAAGTGTCAGATACTGGCTGATATGGGCCACATTAGACTAGTCCACAAGAAAGGCGGGGAAACGGGCAATAGACGGGAGTTATCAACCAGGAGGGGAAATGTGAGACTAAAGAGACCAGACTTTCTAAATTTTACAATTCAAGAAGTGGTGGCCACCCTCGAGCAAATAAAACTACCCTTTCTGACAAGGCTTTAGGAATGTCTAAAGTCTGTTGGCTGTGGTGTCATTTTACCTAAAATTTGCATTGAAAGTACAAGCCAACAGTTCAGTGTTTAAGAGAAGGCCAGCCAGGGCAACAGAAGCAGATCTGATGTGTTTCCTGTTTGTGTCCTTGTGCTCACTTTATTAATGATTCTTTTGCACACAATGTTATGAAAAGGCCAGATCCTTTTCCAATAGTACATATGCAAAAGCAAAAGAAGAAAGAAAACCCCAACACCTCACTTTATGCTGTTTGTTGTTTGATAGATTTATTTAAAAAGAAAGTCTATAGCTATAAATCTTTAAAGAAAAATATGATGAATTCCCCTAAACTCCCCTCAAAAGAGAACCCAGTCTACAGCCATTTAAATGATCATTGCTGCTACAGAAGTGCTTTAAGAGAATTGCCTGAAACATCTGTATTATACCAGCCACCTGCCAATCACAGCTTTACTCTTTCAGGTCACTCTGGGGCTGCCTCTTGCATGTATTAAATAAATAGAAGGATCTTTCTCTCTCTTTTCTAAGAAAAATGATGTGCACTTTGAATACACAACTTGTCTAACCAACTCTATCAAGACCCAGAAATTGAAGAAAAATATTGTTTTCTCATACATACAGTGAGCAGACTTTTTAGTCTTCTAATTCTGTGACTTGTCTTGGTGTGCTAGCCGACACCTTCTCTGGTTTAGTTTTCCTTTTCTATAACACTCTGAATTGCTAATATTACTAACACCTATGATGTTACCTGAAATCAATCTCCCATATGTATGCTGTATGCTATTATAAGACTCCTGAAATATACTTACTCTGTGCTTGTGTATGTGAATGTTAATGCAATTATTACCTAGAGTGAATTTTAAGCTTTATCGTTGAATGTAATTCCATTATATTTCCTTTTGTACACCTGTGAAAAAGTGAAATAGTGTTTTTTTAACCATTGTTAATCAGCTTTTGTGTATGAAAGACACAGTAAAATTTCTTTCTTAAATCAAGATACTGGTGATTCAAGGAATTTTATTTATGGTCAGTCAACAGCTGTCTCTTGCCAAGACTCCTGCTGGCAAGGGAATGAATAAGGCTGTTTTTTTCTAGTAACAATTCTGGAAGGAATAATGAAGGTATTTCCTGAGGGTGTACAAGCACAAATTTTACCAATCTGACCTCTTGGAAGTGGCAGAATGCTTTGAAATTGGAATGCTATCTGGAAAATCAGGTCATAGAAAATAATAAAATTTACTGTCATCTTAAATAAGATTTTTAATTTTGTTATGTATAGCTTAGAAGTTTGATTGATTATATTATCTATTTAAAAGAATATAAAAGGGGTAGGAGTCTGTTATTTAAAAACATTAAATCTAAAAAAAAAACTGTCTTGTCTACTTTTAGCTTCATTCTCCCATATTTTGAAGGGTGTGTAACTTCAGCTCTGCAGGATTGCATGGGGTAAAACTTGTTGCCAACACATGTGAACCATTGCTACATTGTAGGTTGTGATCATTTTGCCCCACTGAAGCCCATGTAACTGACCTTACGTGCCTTTTGAACTAGGAGAATCGGGCTAATTTATTAATGATGATAATTATAATGTATCTGTACAGCACTTTTTAAATTTGCGAAGTGCTTTCCAATCCATGTTAGTTACTAGTTATTACAGCTGTAAGGATAAAACACGTCATGTAGATTTATTTTTAATTGGTGCTATTGGTATTTCCTCTGTTATTGCTAATAAATGGAAATTGGTGGTATGAAAGAAATGGTGGTCATTTATAAGAGTAGGAGAAAACAAAACACTGACTGTTTGTTAGCTATTATTACTGAAGAAAATAGCAGCAGTATGAACCTTATCACTTATCACTCTGGTTATCGCCCTGTTTCTTATGTTCATCACTAAGGCAAAACACCCAATGGATCAATAATTGAAACCCACCCCGTATTACCAGAATAGGTAGCCATGAGGTTGCTGGAATATTAATAAGAATAGAAACAAACTAGTTTTTATTACTAAACCAAATCCAATCATTTTGTTCATTGTATATCCCTTGCACTAGTCTACATTTGAAAAGTCTAATAATGCTCCAAGAAATCATGTAACTTTCATTGATTACAGAATAACTGTCAGGTAGTCTACTAAACAAATTCAGTTCATAGTACATGTTCTGTAAAATATATTTCATTATCCTTCTGTAGTGAAATTTTCATGGTGCATTGCTTCTCAACTCAGAGCAAGCCCCGTCTCCTTAGAGGACATTTTGTCAATGTCTAGAGACATTTTTGGTTTTCATTATTTGAGGTGGGGGTGTTATGGGCATCTATTTGGTAGAAACAAGAGATGCTGCTGAACACCTATGATACAGAATAGCCTCCCGGAACAAATACTTTTCCTGATACAAATGCCAAGGTTGAGTAACCTTGAGATAGAATGATTATCTAATTTGTTTAGTCCACTTTTGTAACAGAAAGGAGACACCATTAATAAGTACTTCCAGATTCAAGATATAAACAGGTTGTCCCTGTGAAGTGGGATGCATAAAGACTCTGTTTATTAAGTAAGTTGATACAGCTTCATCACCAACTAGATGGGGAACCTTGGGAAAGATACTACTGTATTTCTCAGTGTTTCAGTCTCTCCAGCCCTCATTTCTAAAATAGTGATGATTGGAGTACATGCTTTATATATTTATGGGAAATTTTTATTAAAATCTCAAAAAGGTTTAACATATCTGACATAGTTCTCAATAATATTTTTCTTTTACTTCATCTTTTTGTAGATATAGGTCCTTTCCTATTGATTAAAATGTATGAGAGATAAATTTTTATTATTTAGTAGTTAGTAAATAAATGAGGAAGTAAAATATTTTACTTATTATTCTACTTTTTCCTCATCCAGGAGGAAAAGAAGCACTTATTTTCATAACTCGGTGCCCATTTCCATCATTCTCTAAGTATTCAAGCAACCAGTCTGTTCAAAACTGTTGCAACTTAATGATCAATGATCTGAAAACCAGAGACCAAAAGTTGAAGTCACTGTGCATGTTCAAATGGGTAAATTTCATGTGAGTCTGTGTAAAACAGCATGTGAGAGAGTTATCTGCAAAAAGGTCTTTTAGCAGATACAACACCAAAACATCTACAGACCTGCCTAGAATCCCACAGGTAATAAAGAACAAATCAAGTTGCATCTCTCTTAAGGGACAGGCTTCTTTGTAAGGGTCTCAAATACACAGTACAGGATTCACTCCTTAGAACACATGCAGTTGATCTCATTTTCAGGGATGAGATTTCCCAATCAGTATCTAACGCTTTGTCTGTCAGCATTTATTTATACTCCTAGAAAACTTCCCAAATCTCAGGATCCCATGATAGTGCATTGTATGTTTTTAAAGTTCAAAACAAAATCCTAAAGTACAAATGTAGCTGACCAAACACTAATTCAGCTCTTGTGTTAAATATAGATTTTAAAACCACCAAAACAATAGATATAGTAAAACAAGGTAACAAAACTACAGACATGCTTCATCAGGAACTGAAAGTCCTAGGAGTTTCCCTAGGAAATGGCAAGTTGGCTACTCCTTAGTTCCGTTTAATTATATTTTCATGTGCTTCCTCTCCTTGTAGAAAAAGTTGATCATGTTATTTCCCACCAAATGAACTTGCTGTTGACTGGAAGTATGCAATTTAATCAAAATATCCCCTATGATTTTGGTATACATTCACTCCCCCTCCCTACAAACACACCCCACACAGATGGACAGATGGATGGATGGACAGCAGGAGAATGTTAGACAAAGAGCATGGTATCACTAGGTATAGTAGTGTAATCCCAACACTTGGGAGGCTGAGACTGGAAAATCATTGTGAATTTGAGACCAGCCTGGACTACAAAGTGAGTTCAAGGCCAGCCTGCACTGTATAGTCAAGCCTATCTTCCTTTTCAAGTTGTACCTAAAAGTGGTACCTAATAACACTACTATTATAACCTCAGGTAAAATGCTTGGTTTGTATGTTCTCCTGCAGTTGATCCATGGAAAAGTGCCTACTGAAACACAAAAATCTTGAAAGTCTTTTTCACTAAAAAAAAAAAAAAAAAAACTATGAATTTATCTTGGTTTTTAAATTTTTTTTTTTTATTTTGAAGATAGCAAAATACAACAGAACAAGACAGAACAAATCGAGACAATGCAGTGAAATTGGTACTGAACTTCACAGCAGGATACCAGGAAAACAGTAATAGGTACAGAGGCCAGGGATTTAGCTCAGCAGCATAAGTGCCTGCCTGGCAAGCTCAAGGTCGTGAGTTCAATCCCCAGTATCACACACACACAAACAAAAACAAAAATCAACAGTAATAGATGCCATAATATATCTTGTTATCTTCACAATAGTTATCCATTTAATCAGGTATAGCAAAGTCAAACCAAAACCAGCACATAATATTGAATAGAACATAACAATTAATCAGAACAAAGCAAAACAGTGAAAATAATATTTGCCTTCAAACAGAAGATGGAAGGAAATCCCCCATATTTGCTACACTGCATACGGTCCTCCTCCCAGGAGATGCTCAGACCTCTGGCTCCCAGTTGCTAACGTGGGGGCAGGGGATGGGATGTTTGATTTTCTGGAGAGCTGACTGGTTCTCTTGGGGGCTTGCTCCGTGCTCGCTCGCTCAAGCCATGGCCACTTACCAGGAAGGCGGGCCCTTATCTTTGACCTGAAGTTTCTCCAAGAATGTAGACGTAGATTTGCTTCCATAAAATATATAGTCTAGTAAATAAAAATGAAAGCAGTGAAATGAAATAAGGTGTTGAAAAACATAAAGCACAGTCATTTGTTAGGCTAATTTTTTTTTTTTTTTTGTACCAGGCATCAAACTCACAACCTCATGCTTGCCAGGCAGGTGCTTATGCCACTGAGCTAAATCCCCAACTCCATTTGGTAGGTTATAGAAGTGTCATATGACTTGGGGATTATCAGTCCACAAAGAACATCAGCAGTTTAGACAACCACTCAGCCAGTAGCTATTCTTAGAGCAGAGCTAAAAAAACAACTGACAACTCATGCATAAGCATATAGGAGGACTGATTGAACAGCTCCCATTTCTATGCTTTGCTATCACTATGGTTATGTTATTTAATTTTAGATGATATTGACTTTATTATAAAACCAGTTCATGTTCTAATAAATAAGTAAATAAATAAATAAAATATCCAAAGATGTATTCAGAAAAATAATCCTCTTTATGAGCGTTTTTAAACTATCCCTCACACAAATATCCAATATTAACATTCAGTTTCACCACATTTTTCTCTATGCACATATTTATGCTTGTCATATAAACATGTTTGTTTTCTTTTTGTTTGGTTGTTGTTACTTGTTTTATTGTTGTTGTTACTGTTTTTGAAATAGGGTCTTCCTATTTAGCCTAGTTGGCCTTGAACTTTTGGCAATCCTCCAGCCTCAGCCTCCTAAGGGCTAGGATTATAGGTATATGCCACCATGGTCAGGTAGGTTTTTCTTTTTAATAAAAACAAAATAGTTGCTATCCTATTTTTTAACTCTGCTTCTTTAAAAACTTTAAATAACATGAAGGCTTCTCCAGGTCAACTCTAGAACATTCTTTTAAATTTCTGTATAAATTCCACAGAATGGCTAGATGACAATGCTTTCATCTTTTCCTTTATTAATGGCATTTGGCTTATGACCCAGATTTTTTGCTATTAGAACCAAAAACCAGTACTTTTTCAAGGATAAATTTAGTGCCCAAGTTTTATAAACTGTGGTCTTGATATAAACTCACAAGGAAGTTTGGAAGGTTATTGTACACTTTATGTGACTTCCATAATAATCATATTCCTTTGAACACAAACACATTTTTAGTACTCAGTGGTGAGTTCAGGTTCTATATATGGACATTCACCAAAAGAAAAAAAAAAAGATTTTTTGAAAATTTCATGTTCATTTACTTATACAGAATAATTTCTTGGGTGCTGTATTTCACACAACGACTTCTTCATTCAGTCACAGATTGAGATATATGTATAACAGGAGCCTAAAAAAAATTCCAAATACTTGCCTAGACCCATGATATTTTAATATCATCTGGTTAAAAATTGAGTAGATAGCATTCTAATATTCTTCTAGATTACTACATTTTAGCTGAGAAGTAAATATAATCTTAATACCTGTGGAATTTATTTCATTTTAAGAAAAATACAGGGGCCAGGGATTTAGCTCAGTGGTGTAAGCGCCTGCCTGGCAAGTGTGAGGTTGTGAGTTCAATCCCCGCTAGCAAAAAAAAAAAAAAAAAACAGTCAAATAATATCTCTGAATAGATCAACACAGCCATTCATGTGTTTTAAAAATCTCCATTGCAAAATCATTTGGCTCATAAACTTTGGAAGATCTTTCTCCCTAAACTGTTTATGCTATTTGGCGCCCAAACCAGCCTTTCAGAAGAGAATTGCATTCCTGAGTCCTTAGTTTTCCATTCTCTATAGCTAACAGCACTTTCCAGAAAGAAAGCACATATTTCTTCTCGCTTCAGCAGCTTTGCAAGTCGCTTTTCTCTTTGTCCTAAGTCTAGGGACAATTTCCCAGGAACCCTGAAGGCTACAACCTTCAACCTTTCTCACAGTTTGCTTTGCTTTGTTTTTTGGTTGCTTTGCTTTTTCTCTTTTCTTCTCTTCTCTTTTCTTTTCTTTTCTTTTTTTTTCCTTTCTCATCTTTTCTTTTTTGGACCAGGAATTGAACTCAG